AATGAAACAAAATATACAATAGAAAAGTGGTTAAGATATACAGGAAAAATAAGGTAATACATTTTTTATGAGACTTAATTAAAGTATAACGAAAAATTAAAGCGTATGAAATGAGAAAATAGTGGATATTGAGATTGAAGAAGAAAAAGAGAGAGATAAAGAGAGAGAGAGAGAGAGAGAAAGAGAGAGAGAGAAATTGAAATTACGTATAGCTAATTGCATAAAATATATGAATGAAAAAAAAAATAAAAAATAAAAAAACAATTAAAAGCATGTAGGAGGATTGGAAATCGTGAAACAAAATGAAATTAAAAAATAAAAAAATAAAAAAAAAAATAAAAAAGGAAAAAAAATGGAAATAGATTTTAATCGATACACGATGATTTATTGAAAAGAAAAAGATATTAAAAAAAAATTAGTAAATAAAATAAGACGGAGAAAAATATATATATATGATAAAATTGGATCATGTTGAATTTTAAATAGAAAATTTTAATTAATATTAAAAGTGATAAAATAATAAAAAAAAAAAAAAAAAATTCAAATAGATGATAAATAAGAAAGGGGAAGAGGATAAAATAAGATAATAATAAAAATAAGATAATAAAATAATAAGAGGAGGATAAAAAACAAATTGCATATTATGATATAATTAAAATCTGTAAATAAATTTGAATGATCATATTTTTATGATCGACGATTAATTTCAAACAAAAATCTGAACTGAATTGAGATGAAATATGAATAAACATAAAAAGAGATGACGACGTGAGAGAGAAGTCGTGTTGGATTATAGGAAATAATTGTTTCGTCATCGTCACGCGACAGACGCATACACAACTCTGCGGTGTGTTCTCACAATAAATCGCGAAGTCTAATTGCGGTCTTTCTGTACCACCATTTAATATCGAATCAAATATCGAATCACGTATAAAAGTGATTGAATTTGTTTTAGAATTTTCGAGAAACTCATTTTCAAACGTATTTTCGTATTTTCGTTAATTATCTTTTTACAGATTAATTTGTAATCTCTAACAATATGTATACACATATGTACAAGTTATAAATATATATATGTAGATGGTAGCAATTATTTATATAACAGTGTATTAAAGGAAAATATATTATTACAAAATATCCTAATAGCACGAAATATTGAAAAATATTGAATTGTGTGTATTTAATATTAAAAAGACATTAAATTTTAATATTTTTCAATAATTTGTGGTACATAATTTATAAATATTAGATATAATAATATATTAGAAAATATATAATTTACAAATTATTTCGATACTACAATTATTATTTAATAAATAGGAAAGTTAAAGGTAAATGAAAATAAAAGCAAATGAAAGTTATAACAATTTTTCATAATTGTTAGTTTCATTTATATTTTTATCTTAATATTATAATATAATAATTACAAGATAAAATTTAAGAGTTGTATTAGTAATATTAGATTGGCAACTAAATGATTGCTGATTTAAAAATGCCATCCTATTGACAAAATCAGCAATAATTTAGTTGCAAACCCAATAGAATATAAATAAATAATAAAATCATTTTATTGTTTTCAATTTTCTGATTTAGTCCTACTGTTATTATTATCTGTATACACCTATATATATATATGCGTATAGGTGTGTACGTGTGTTTATATATATAATTTATGTAATAATATAAATGAAATTATAAGCAAATCGAATATTATTGGTTTATAATCGTGATCGATCATATCGATCAACAGATATTTCCTGTGATTGGTATACGATTAATGTAATGTGTACAATCACGCAACAATGGCCGCCGGTTTACCCAGTATATACATGCGGATATCTCTTCCGGCTATCGTGTTCGGTATCTATTCCACACAATTTCGGAATTTCATTTACACAGATACCAATGCGAGAATCGAACATACCTTACGATCTTTTTCAAACAGAATATTTATTAATAATGTATAATTTAATTATTAAATTTACGTTAACAAATTATTTTTTTTTTATATTATTTCTATTCGATTACGAGAGATCAAAATAAAACAATGCTGTTTATTGAATTATTTGTTGAATTATTATTTTTTTAATATATTTTTGTTTTATTAAGAGGGTATAATTTAATTATTAAATTGATGGTAACAAATTATTTTTTTTTTATATTATTTCTATTCGCAATACCCGGTTACGAGAGATCAAAATAAAACAATGCGATTTATTGAATTATTATTATTATTTTTTTTAATATACTTTTGTTTTATTAAAAGGGTTTAATTTAATTATTAAATTGACGTTATTACATTATTTTTTTTTTATATTATTTCTATTCGCAATACCCGGTTACGAGAGATTAAAATAAAACAATGCTGTTTATTGAATTATTTGTTGAATTATTATTATTATTTTTTTAAATATATTTTTGTTTTATTAAGAGGGTATAATTTAATTATTAAATTGACGTTAACAAATTATTTCTTGTATATTATTTCTATTTGCAACACCCGGTTACGAGAGATCAAAATAAAACGAGTGTAAAAACAATGCTGATTAATATTGAATTATTTGCTGAATTATTATTATTTATTTTTAAATATATTTTCGTTTTCCTTATTTTAATCTTTATTGTCACGGTTAAAGAAAAAATTTAAATAATAATGTATAAATGATAAATTTTGTATGATAAATTTTGTATTTGGTTGTATAGTACTTAATCATGATTAATGTATGTTATTTATTTCGAAGTAAATACCGATCCATAAGGGAAAGCATTAGATTTAAGGTAGGCATTAAATATATATATACAGGCCTGTAGCAAACGCTAGTAGTGTGGAGTATTATTATATGTTGCGTCTGTATTTAACGTGAATGGTAATTAAGCGAAATGTATAGGCTTATATACATACATATATATAAAGTTAACTTATGCATTAGGAACAGTTTAGATAGTTTTCTCCTTTAAACTTTACATAAGATACTTGATGAAAAGTCTCGAAATCGTAATAATAATAAATAGTAACTTTAAGACATTAATTACACGTGTAATTACTATTATTTTTCAAGTAAAAACTTCTTTAGAATGGGTTGTGATGTGAAAAAAGCGAACAAAAATCTATGGGTAAGAGTAATGAAACGATGAAACGGTTATGGTACTAAAAAGAGAAAACGAGACAGACATATGCACATCTATTGGATTTAGCCTAAGAGAGAATGAGATAGAAGACAGTTTGCATTTTTGTTTCTTATTATCTCGGTCTCCACTTTATGTGGTGCTTCGTAGTCCTCACTCTTGATTACTAAGTATTGTATATGTGTATGTTTGTGTGCGACTGCATATTACGAAGCTGCATTCGACTAATTCTTTTAAAAAGGTTTCACTTCTAACACGTGTGATCTGCACACATGATATTTTGTTTTTTTATTACTATTAATGAATAATTGTAAGATTTTTATACATTATCTTTGTTATTTCATTGTTTTGTTTGCTTTTTCTTTCATTCGTTAATAAAATTATCATTCTCAACTTGTTATACGAATTATTTTATGGGAAACAGAATAAACAGAGTTTAGAACAGTTATAGTACAATTTTGTAGACATTGTGGTAACCTACCTTATATAGTAGTACTTGTCAAAATATTGTGTTATAGCTATGAACACCGACGATACTACGATGGTAATTGAGATTGTAAACTCCAGACACCTCTTATGTCAGCATCGTATGGGTTATGTGAACTCTCCGTAAACAACGTTTATCGTCTTAAAAGTGAATTAAAGGGAAACGTTTTATTTACTAGTAAAATAATTTCAAGTTAATCTTTGTTACTTTTATTTTTTCGAAATATTCAGAATTATTTAATTAAGAAGAAATATCACTTGAATACTTAAAAGAAGAGTAATCAAAAATAAAAGAATTAATAATAAAATGTTAATAATTAATAATATCAAAAATTGATTCTAATGTTATCTAAAACCAATATTACCTGTTGCTACTCCATAGCATTTCATTTCTAGAATTCACTTCCTCTTCTCTCCTCTTACCATGAACTCTCACCAAATCCAATCTGCGAAACTCTCTGAATATGAAAAAAAAATTGATAAAAAGAAGAAAAGAAAAATCTTTATCCTGTAATATCTAAAAATGAAAATTCTCCGAAGACTTCGACATCCAAATAAATAAGAAAAAAAAAAAAAGAAAAGAAGATAACTTCTTTATATACTTACTCGAGTACTCGAAAAAAGAACTAGGTAAGAAAAGATGAGAAAAATATAAGAAGAAGTAGAAGAAGTAGTGATAGTAGAAGTGGTAGTAGCAGTAGTAGTAGTAGTAGAGTAATAGTAGTAAAATAAGAAATATAAAGTAAGTAGTAGAAACATAATATAGTACAGTACAGTATACAGTACACTTGAGTAAGAAGAAGTAGAAGAAGAAATAGAAAAAGAAGAAGTGGTGCTAGTAGAAGTAGTAGTAGTAGTAAAAGAAGAAATATAAAGTAAGTAGTAGAAGCCTAATATAGTATAGTACAGTATATAGTACAGTATAGTACTCATAGTATTCGAATAAGAAGAAATAGAAGAAGAAGAAGTGGTGATATTAGAAATAATAGTAGTAGTAAACGAAGAAATACAAAGTAAGTAGTAGAACCATAAAATATTATAGTACAGTATAGTACAGTATAGTACTCATAGTATTCGAGTAAGAAGAAGAAGAAGAAGTAGAAATAAAAGAAGAAGAAGTGGTGATAGTAGAAGTAATAGTAGTAGTAAAAGAAGAAATATAAAGTAAGTAGTAGAAACCTAATATAGTATAGTACAATACAATACAGTATAGTACTCAAAGTATTTAAGTAAGAAGAAATAGAAGAAGAGTAGGAGGAGGATGGTGTAGGATAGGGCGTTACGAGAACGTTGCGTCATACGTCGTACGGTTTTCCGGATAGGGCAGTAATTTGGCGGCACGGCGCATGCACTGTAAACCGGCTCCGGGTCAACGGCAAGTCCCGTTAGTTGAGTTTAGTCGTGCGACGAACGTCAAAGCGGTACGAGTGATCGAGAGAGAGAGACACGTTCGCGGCGTGTTCAAATTTCTTCCGCGTTGTGTATTACGATCAGCGTGAGTGGAATATTCTTAAAGGGGGTTGGCTGAGGTGGGGGGGGTTAGTGGTGTACCTTCTCTCCCACTTGCTCTCTCTTTCTCTCTCTCTCTCTCACTCATCGTTCACCTAATGTAAGTCCAACCAACCCTACGACTTACCGAACTCCCTCCCCTCCTCTCAATTCCCTACTCACAACCCCCAAACTACCCGGTCGGTACCGCGCGTGCGTGCGTGCGTGCGTTCGCGTTCGCGTTCATTCGTTCGCGTTCGTTCGTTCGTTCGTCGGGTGCTTTCTGACAGGAGGTAACGTTGCTGGAGAGCAACAGGACGAATAAGAGAGAGAGAGAGAGAGAGAGAGAGAGAGAGAGAGAGGAAGAGAGGGAGAATTAGATATCTATCCATCGGTTCGTGTGAGTGAGAAGCAAAGAAAAAATAAGAGGGAAGGGAAATAATATCAACTTTTATTTTATTTTTTTTATAAAAAATCAGGAAAGGGGTTAGAAGGATTAACAATTTATTTATAAATATTATCTTTGGAATGTGTTCGTATTATAAATTTTTATTTTTTCTATCCCCCAATTTCTTTTGAAATTAATTCAATATTAACGATTAATATATGTTTGTTTTAAATATATCGGGGGATGATATTATGGTTAAGTGAGATCCTTCTAAAGGGTCTCCTTTGAACGTACGCTTCTCTGTATTGATAGATACATGGATAGTAGATGGATGGATAAATGGATGGATTGATGGACAGATAGAGGAATTATTGTGAACCGGTTTCATGCGTGTCGTCTACTTGGTTAATGTTCACCTCAAGGATCGGTTTTCCACGTTGAGAAGGAAACCGGCAAACGACAAAGGACAATCGTAAACTATAAAGCAAACACCCGATGCTTTGTTTAAAGGTATATTAAATTCATAGCTGGGTGGTAGGGGTTGTTGGGGGGGTGTTTGATGCTTTGTCGACAAAGTTCGATGGACTTCACTCTCGTGTTCTTACAAACACATCTAAAGGATCATGTTTTTATTTTTTTTTTTGTTATCATTAAGTGACTATTGACGATTGTGATAAATTTCTGTTCTTTTTATTTTTGTTTTTTTTTTGTTGGTGATATTACCTGTGTGTGTGTTGGTTATGATATAAAAGACTGTAATTAAAGAAGAATAAACCTTTTTATAAGATAAAGAAAGGAAAAGAAGGAAAGAAGAAGAAGAAGAAGGATCGTATATCGATTTTTGCATAAGAAGATTGTGGACTTTGTTTCTGATATCCTGACAAGTTACTTTGGTTGGTTTCTGTTCGAAGGACTACAAAGGAAAGAAGATCCTATTTCTTGCACGTGATATAACTTCCTAAACCGATAAAGGGTGAGTCAGAGAATAAAACATAAACAACATTTTTAAATATCTCATTATCCGATAAAACATTAAAAATAATAATAATAAAAAAAGTACTCTCTTTAAAATATATATATATAAAAAAAAAATTACTTACGTTCCATCAGGACCACCACCGCCATGATGGATTAGCGTTAAACGCGGTGAAGTTTCTTTTTTTTTTCTTTTAGTTCCATTTTTCTTTTGACTAAAATAAAAGTTACCTATAAAAATAAAAACAAATAAAAAAAATGAGTTGAAAGAAAATACATTGTATGATCTCGTGTGATGATGATCTATGCATTTATGTGCCATACGAAAACACCTGTTGGTTATCAATTAACCAGAGGGTTTAGAGGGTTAGAAGGGAAAGTTCCGAACGATAATAAACTATATAATACATTTATTTAGATTATATGTTTTAACATAATGAATCGATTTTTATGATTTCTTTTTCTTCTTATTCTTTTTCTTTTTCTTCTTCTTCTTCTCTTTTTATCAATTTTATTTTTATTTCTTTTTTTTTATTGATCAACAATATACCATGGCATTTGTAACCTTTATCCATCTACTTTCCAGATACATACATACATACATATATATACATATATGTACTTGTTTTCTCTTAGTGGATGCATGAAAGACGACGAAAGTAACGTGTAAACTCTCGGTTAATTAACCCTTCCGTTACTACGGACCACTATAGTGGCCCTCCATAAGATGCCACTAGGGTACTACATAAACAATTCAGGTACTCCATAAAATGCCGCGTATTTAGCATACGACGAACATATGCAGTTTAGCACACTATAGTGGCCCTGTATAAGATGCCACTGAGGTACTACTGGCCACCATAGTGGCCCTTCATAAAATACCGCGTATTTAGCATACGACGAACATATGCAGTTTAGCACACTATAGTGGCCTTGCATAAGATGCCACTGAGGTACTGCTGGCCACCATAGTGGCCCTTTTTAAAATGCCGCGTATTTTACATACGACGAACATATGCAAATTAGCACATTATAATGGCCCTTCATAAAAAGCCGTATATTTTACATACGACGAACATATGCAGTTATAGCACACCAAATATCCTATTGTGGACGTGTAATTTTAGTGTTTTGTTTCTTTCAATAAAAAATCGTGTTTAACTACTGGCCACTATAGTGGCCCTATTCCATAAAATACCGCGTATTTTACATATGACTAACATATGCAGTTATAGCACATCAAATATCCTATTGTGGACGTGTAATTTTAATGTTTTGTTTCTTTCAATTAAAAATAGCGTTAATATCAGTAACAAAATTAGTCAAAAATAAAGTGCAATTTCGATGTTTGCACGTATTAGCAGTGGAAAACACGCCTGTAGCGAAAGGGTTAATAGTTTGTAGTTTGTTCTCGCTTTTAAACGATTAAAGTGGTACCAGCTAGAAAGAGAGGATTAAGAAAGAAGAAAGAGAGAGAGAGAGAGAGAGAGAGAAAAAGATAGAAAAGGAATGACAAAAATGTATATTAGAAATAGAAAAAGAAGAAAATATTGAAGTTCATCTCTCCTCTTATCTGTAAAGGAATAGATGACCTATTATTCCCGTTCGATATCGAATATGCGCATATGTGCAGAAAGGAATGAAAAAAAAAAAAAAAAGTATCTAGATGATCGTTGATACGTTATACGCCGGTTTATCTCCACTTTTCCACAAACTTCTTATGTGAATTATTCAGCGAATACATCGAAAAAAAAGAGAAGGAAAAAAACCATCTTCTATCCCTTCACCAAAAAAAAAAAAAAGAAATAATGGGTAGAAGTAGAAGTAGTATAGAAGAACGATTAAGAACACGGGATTTTTTTTTTTCAACGTATAGGTACATTCCTGTGAATATATATATATATATATGTATGGTAGTCTCTTCCTATCGTTTTCTTCAGGATGATTAATAGGATTTTACGAAAGAATCATTATGCGAATACGTTGAATGTGAAATTCGATTTATGGTTTGAACCGATATCACGAACACGTCAAGGTTTTTTTTTCCTTTTTTTTTTCTTTTTATTTTTCTCTGAAATATTTTACTTAATATTCTTCTTTTCTTTATTGGGAATTTCGAAGAAAATATTAGTGAGTTTGATTAAATCAAAAAGGAATGATATTTATTATTAGGTAATTTTAAATGGAAAGTTTAATTTGCCAGATTTTCATAATTTTATTTCGTACAAACAATTTATAAACAAAACATATATAATAATAAAATAAAATATACTAAACTATTTAAATATAATATAAATATAATATATATAATATGAATATATTATATAAATAGTTCTATATAAAAAATTTATATTATATAAATAGTGTGATAGTGTAATAGGTGATATATATAGTTTAGTATATTTTATTTTATTATTTTATTTATTTCGTTTTTTCCTTTGATTGAAATAAATTTGAGTTAAAAACAAAATTTTTAATTATCTCATTGTGTTGTTTAATTTACAATTTGAATTTGGTCTCATTTGCATTTATTTTGGATATTTATTTACGTCGTTGATTCAAGAATACGTTTTTAAAGTATTTTAATATTAAAAGGGTATGATTTAACGAGTTAATTTATTTCATGCGCATTGTTCGTGAATAATTTTGGGTACTGAGAGAATTTTGTTACGTGAATTTTCTTTTGTATACGATCATCATCATCAGCATCATTGTTTTGTTTTGTTTTATGTTTATTATAGGTATGTATATATTTATCTTGATATGAATTCTTTTTGTAATTGTTTTTTAATTTCTCACGAATATCGTCTACGTTATATAATCCTTTTATCACGGTCGAGTGGGGTAGTCGATAATACAGTGGTCTGCATATTGCCACTGAATGCAATTTATTAAAGTCGAATGCATTGCTTGCGCTTAATATCGTGCACGTATAAATAATAAAAGCAATGTTCTGCATCAAATTAATTTACCTAGCATTCCACGAAGGGTCAATATTTGCCATCTTTTCATCCCCTCTCTCTCTCTCTCTCTTTCTCTCTTTTTATATCTTTCTTTCCTACTCTTTTATTATTTACTTTAATTCAATATTATGTTTCCTTGAAGTTTAGTTTTCCTTTCTCGTAGATATTTCGATTATTTACGTTGTTGCTTATATCATTTTTATTTTTTCGAATTTTTTTGTATTTTTCCTTATAAAATATATTTTTATCTTTTAACTTCCCCCACACATACACATATATATATTTGAAAATTCTTTATACGTGTAGAAAATAAAAGAAAACAAAAAATTACAACGTGTTAAAAACGTTGAGCGCCATGTCAGTCATTTGTGACTGACACTAGACTTTTCGTTTAGGCCATATGTCAGTCACAAGTGATTGACACTCAATTATTTTTTTTTTTTTTTAAATAGAAAATGTGACCTGTGGCCTGACAAAGAATTTCCCTAAGAATTCGGGTGGCGTTCAACGCGTTAAATGCATTTTTCTTTTGGAAAAAAAATTTCTTGTGGTATTAAAAAAAAAGATAAAAATATGTGCATACATAAAAAGAGAGAAAGATAAAGAAAGGGTGACGATTATTAAAACATTGTGATCGTATTTGATCGTATATGTTCGATAATAATGCATGAAAAATTAAAAAAAAAAAAAAAAAAAAAGAAAAAATACGTGAGATTGAACGGAAAAGAGTAGAACGATGAAAATGGGAATGAAACGAAAAGATGCGAAAGGATAAAAGGGTGGAATGGAAGGGGTGTGAGGGTGAGGTTAAAACATCGTATCGAAAACAATGGGAGAGATGAGTTTGGAGATGTGAGACTCGCTAATGCCCTAGCTCGATCGATCGTTTTATCCAGCAGCCGTTAGTAAAACCCTTCATCGTTTTCTAAAGTTTTAATCCTTTGCTTATTTTACAAAGAATGAATGAAAGAAAGTAAGTAGAAAGGAAAGAAGGAAGGAAGGAAGGAAGGAAGGAAAGAAAGATAGACAAAAATAAAATATGAAGAACTTTTCATAGTATGTAAAAATACATTTATCGATATTCTATTATCAAATTGTAAATGTATTATTAAAACATGTATTAAATTTAATACGTGTAACATTAGAATAGGTGATAAAACAAAAGGGGGTGGGGGAGGATAATCGAAATGTGTTTTTTATATAGGGTGATTATTTTTGAAAGATTATTATATATATTTATAAGAGGATATGTAAATGAAAGAATGAGAATGAGTGGGTGTTGTTTATATTTAGAAAAATAAATTCAGATTATTTTAGATTAGACATTGTAGATAATTATTATATAGATGAAAGCATGAAAGATAATGGAGTGGATAATTGAGAGAAAAGGTTTACACGTTGTGTTTTTCGAATGAAAAATAAAAAAAAGGTAAAATATTATAATAATATAAAATTTGGAAACTTTTGATAAACAGTGTAACAAAAATAATAATATTTAATATATTATAAATAATTTTTATAAATAATTTAATTATTTATAATTTATTATTGTGTAATTTTAGAAATTTTTATAAATAATTTAAATACTAATACTTTATTATAATTTATATATATATATATATTTATATTTATATGTGTGTAATAATTTATATTAAAATATAAAATTATATTATATATTATATTATATTATATTATATTATATATATTATATTTATTTATTTATTTTATATATATTTTATAATATATTTTTTTTTATATATATTTATTAAAAATTATTTCTTTATATATTTAAATATTCTATCTTTTTTTTTATTCAACACAAAAGATAAACGAATGGATATGAACAATAGAAAAGGGTTATGGGTTGTGTTTAAAAAAAAAAATAAAAAAAAAATATAATAATAATATAATATTGGAAGCTTTTGATAAACAGTGCACCAAAAATAATAACAATATAATATTAAACAAGAAAGAAAATTGCTCTCTTAGATTTTATACAAAATCAAAGTTATCTCGTAATGAAAAAAACCAATTT